CCCCCCCCCCCCTTTCTCCAGGTAATTATTGCACAGTCCCTAATAGTCTATCCTTCTCTCTACGTTCTATTTATATTTTTACCAAAATTTCTACTAATCTCGCAATCTAATTTGCTAACTTGTCGTTGTCGATGAGCGTTCAGACAACGCTGCTCGCGTCAATGTGTCACGCAATGCCTTTTTCAGCTCGCGGTCTTGAAAAAAAAAACTTTCTTTATTAGTTGATATTGTGGCAAAAACAAGTCGAATGTGGTTTAGCGTTGTCTGTACTCTTATCGACAACGAGTACGCGTCATCACAGTGGTCAAAATGTTGTGGACTCACGAGGCTCCTATTTGAGTCCACAATATTTTGACCACTGTTATGACGCGTACTCGTTGTCGATAAGGGTACAGACAACGCTAAACCACATTCGGCTTGTTAATTATACTATGTTAGGATAAGAATCAGAAATTGAAACGACAACGATTCATAATTATAATTTATCCTGACAGGCGTTATTACGGTTCAGGAAGCAATCTTGACGGGTAGGCAACATTTGCCAAGTTTGTATGAGAATCCGATGGTACTCCTAATAGTTTTCAGTTAATAAACTGGAAACTGGACGATTTATGAATAGCAAAGTTACCAGGCTAGGCAAAGGATCACATTAGCCAAATGTGAGCGATGAAGCTACGTTCACTCGCGTTTTCAATTTTCCATACATTTGTCTAATATATAGATTTAGGCCAGCCTAAAAGCACAGCTCCTGGGCCGGGTTTTTCAGAGCCCGATTAAGCTAACCCAGGATAAGGTAGAATTTGGATTTGAGTTTTGTAACCTTGCGTTGAGGTTTTCTGTATATTGTTTGGCCATATAAACAAAACAAAGCAGCAAAAAACAGTTGTATAGAGGAAAAAGTTATAATTCCGTTGACTTTTAGTCGTGGGTTAGCGTTAACCGGCTTCCGAACAATCCTGCCCTGTTTTCAACAAGTTAACCTGACATCAGCCCGCGATCCAATCGAAAACCAGCACTTGGTCAGCGGTCAACGTCATAAAAACAAGTGACTTCGATGGGCTGTAAACTTGAGCCCGCGATACTGGTCAGCGGATACCTTGTTTTGACAAGTGTCAATTGATCATAACATGGATGCCCAATATCAAAGAGGTACACGGTAAACCAAGGCTGCATGTCTCTGTCAACCTAGTCCGTCGCCGTCGTGCGTGCGCGCCCACGAGCAGCACCGCTAGCCATGTCAACCATGAGAGATCAACTCATGGGTTTCCTTTTCTTTCCTATATGAGTATGGGGCTCCGCTTGGCGGCCCTTCGGGCCGCCGGAGCTCCGCTATAATTTGTTTTCCGATCAATCAATCTTCATTTGCGCTCACTCTTGCTCAAAATAAGAAGTTTCCCTCGAAATAGGAAAATAAAAACCCGACTGAACGCTTCTAGCACTGCTCCAACCCTCAAAATCCTTAAGTTTGCCAAGTATCTTAATTGCAGACCAAATCGGACCCCACTCAGTCGTATTACAAATAACCCCCGGAGGGAGTACTCCCAGAAAAATTGAGTGTTGGTGTGCGGCCCGCTTCCCAAAACGCTTACCCTATTTATGACCAAAATCTGCTATTTTCCCTTCCCCATTTATGACCTGAACCAGGAGGGAGGGAGCGACTCTTTTGTTTTCCATTGTTGATTCTTGATTAAGTCATCGCTGCCAGTGTGACCTCACACTAAGCGAAACGTACCGTCACACTGGCAGTGATGACTCGACCAGTGTTTTCCCTGGAGACGCACCCTCCCTCCTGACCTGACCGGAAATTTGATACCATATTCATGACCTGATCCTTTAGTCAATACCCTACATGTTCCAGGCCTGCTTTACAATAAGCTACCTAGTTCAGACCGATGTTAAGGCATTTTGAAGGGCTTTTGTTCATGGTCTTATCGCCCTACAATGATGAAAAAGTAGCTTCTTCTGAAAAAAAAACATACCCAATTCACGACTAGTGTGCAAGCAAAAACCATCCCTGTTTATGACCAAAATGGCCAAAATCGATAGCCTGTTTATGACCAAAACGGCTGAAAAACCATATCCTTTCGGGCTGCACATACCTATATAGCCCATAGAAGGAAGTACCCCTCTCCCGGTACAAAACAAGTTATCGTGCTTTAAACTTGTTAAGATAGCAGTTTACGGTCACACACTTTATTTCAATTCCAGTTGTCTTGACGGTCGCTCCTCTCATTACGGCTGTGGAGGTCTACAAGAAAGAGATGTTAACTCCCAAACGTATGCCAGGTTTCGGATCTTTATTTAGAATTAATCCAAAGTCATACAATGCTTTGTCCTACACTGAATAAAAGTGCGCTTTCCTTACACAAATCGGACCTAGTTTTACTCATGCTACCTAATGTTACAGCAAAATTATTATCATACATTATCTGCTCTTTCCGGCCTTACATCTGTGTTTGTACTGTTTCTATACTCTGTGACCGCCATCTCTACTTCTCGTTCAATTTTTATTTTTGCCCAGCCCATGAATTTATACCCCTTTGTCAGTCCTTTTAAAACCAATGCTGCAATTGCTCCACTGAAAAACACATAGATGGTCGAGAAAACAACCGAAACATTATATTTATTTCCAAAGACAGCAATTGAATATACTGCTACAAACAAAAACGTTAAAATCAAAACCATATTACGACTGAAGCATCCGGCAGATTTCAGATTTTATAGGCAATACCCTGTCACAGACAAACCAAAATAATTGTGTTCGGATTGTACCCTCGGGATCACTGCTGTTAATCTGTAATTCTTTTTGCCATTTTAAAATCATTTTCTTTACTTCCTTACATTTGTTCGGCATATTAGTATAACATAGATAGAAATTTGTTGTAACCACGAGGAAGAGAGCAACAAAGGGTGTCACAATTCCCACATTAACAACTACTCCCATAATTGAATATACTAAAGTATTTAAAATAAAATTGCACAAACTGAATAACGTTATAAAGTTAGCTAAGAGTAAAGCAGCAAAATATAACAACAAAAATATTACAAGCAGAATACAACTCAGTACCATAACATACAGCGGAACCTTTTCGAGAATATCGCCAAGTTGTTCAGCTTTTAGAGACAAACACACAAGGAGGGTCACAAACGGCGAATACACAAGTATTGCCGCTAGCGACAAGATAAGAAAACAGAAAAAAAAAGATTGCCCCGCATACAACTCTAAGAAGTAGTGTGACGGGGATAGAGACTAAACGAAGCAAAACGCAAATTGAATGCATCAATCGTGATGCTTGACGCATATTTTGGCACGTGCAAGAACAACAATCACAAACAACTAGCTCGTGCAATGCATCGCAGAGATCGCAGAGATAATGATGAAGTATTTTTAAATGACGACGTATTTCATCACCCACAGAACGCCGATCTGAGCTCGGTAAGACTAACGTGTTCTCCTTTTCGCTCTTCTGCTGGCACGCGTAACAAATTATCCCCTCCTTGATGATGAAATCCTCAGGTCTTGAAAACAAGACTGGTTTAAAACTCGAAAATGCTAAGGAGACAACGAGAAAGATATCCAGAGGTTTTTCTTCACCATCAAACGTGACAAACAGAAACAGTCGATTGAATACGTCCCAAACCGAAACATGTTTTTTAATACTTTCATTAATATGCGTTTTTTTCAGCGTACGATAAAGTCCTAATTGAATGTAAAAGACGCATGGATAAATACAAAGCCACATAATGGCTAATTTGATATTAAATGACAGCTCTAAATCTGGCAATGTCTCAACAAATCCAAGGAAAAGAGTTGAAAAGATCATTAGACTTGAGTCATCTACAGGAATCATTTTGCTTTCCTCCTATCTTTGATTGTGTACATTTCTCGCGTAATTTGACTCGTCTTTTTCATTGTTATCCGCAACTGAACCTTCGACATTGTTGGGGCTACTTAACAATGGTATTACCTCTGTCTGGCGGTTGTTCTGTTGATCTGGCGTTCCAGTGTTGTTCTCTAACTCGCCTGCCGTTTTAGAGTTGTTTTGTTGACCTGCCGTTCCAGTGTTGTGCTTTTGTTTAAAGCGATTTTCTTTGTCACACTCGTTTTGGAGACTAAAAAAACAGTCTGGTAGTGCTAGAGGAAGGGCCGGAATGAAAAATGACATAAACACAATTAACGTAATTAAGATTCCATTAACCACGCCTTCCCACTTGCTGCTAGCAACAGTTAAATCGCACAGAATAGAAGGGCCATTGGGTCCTTTATGCCTACCACAGCAGTGATAGCCGTCAATTTCATTGTATTCGATGACTGCAACACACACTATCTGTGTCTCGTGTGTCTTGTGTGACAGCGCATCAGAGCTGCCCATTGTTACATTTTCTAACAACATTCTTCCAACGGCCATGTTTTGGCATGTTGAGTTTAAGTTGGCAAGGCATCCACTCGGCTGACCTTCCAACTGCACGTCCATGCTTCCCACTTGATACTTCAGTAGACCCAGAGATAAAATATCGTAATCGTCGGGTAAAGTTAGCATGGGCTCGGTGATCTTGCTAGCCCACACCCATCTGTGTGGAAGAAACTCATCTTGTAACTCCAGTGGATCGTAGCTATCGTTACCAATTTTCAAATTTAAGTAGACCAATCTCACTCCTTTCTCGGAAGTCTTGCTGCGAAATTCAGACGCAAAACCTTCTCCAACTGGCGAAAGCTTGCATCGTGTCTCACTGCAGTTCTCAGGTTTGCCTTCACAATAAGTGAACAAGAAAAGAACTGAGAAAGCGAAAACCGATTTGAGAACCATGCTTAGTCTGCGCTGCTCAAGTGACTCTGTAACCCAAGCTATCTTTAACCTCTTGCAAGTAATCTCAGTTGCGTCTGTCTTTCTATTCATTCCCTGATTTATTTTAGTAGCTGAGGTCAAGGTGGATTTCTTACATGAGTATCAGGTGTATGACATGTTGTCACACACTGAATTGTTTTTCTTGCTTTAAATCACCCGAGGGGGCTCAGTCTTGCTATGAGAGGTCCAGTTTCGATTCACAATCTTTCATTATAGTCTTCAAACCTCCTATTTTTGAAAGCGACCACCTGTTCTAGAGCTGCCTGCGCAGACACTCTTTGGCCTCTGTCATACATGCGATGAGTAACAGATTGGAGTCCACTCACAAGTATAATTACCGAGCGAATTGAACTCCACTCAGTCCTGTTATTACTAAAACAAAAATTGAGAAAATGAGTCAAACTTTTTGACCAGGAAAGGTAGCTCAATTGTATTGGAAACTTGCATTAAGTGCAAGTGCTTTAACACATCGCGCACAGATGGTCTACTGTAAGGGTCCCCTATACCTCTTCTGAAAACAGTTTCACGTATAAGAAATTGGCCTTTTCACGCATCACGAAAAATTTGAAAAACAGCTTCACGTTCTCAGAAAAAAAA